TGGTCGTCAGATGATAAAACATTTGAAGGGTTGATAGAAGTGTTTTGAGAGGATCTAAGTTGCTGAGTTTGAACTAAATTATGATAATAAGTATTAATATTATCCCTAATAGAAATAGGGTCTGTTATCCAATTACCTCCCTGATCTTGAATGGTTGTAATACGGTTAACTCTTTTACGATTTATAGTACTTAGATAAAAGAATTTTTTATTCGCATCCCCGTCGTTTAACCAGTCAACACGTGACTTATGTTTCCAAAAATCTTCCTCTAATTTAAGAATTGTATTAAGATCCACTATGAGTGTACGTTCTAAATTATGTAAGAATAGGCTCGTACGATAGTGGTTTGAGGATTGAATACCACTGATTCGAGCCATTAGCTTCTTTTTACGTTTGAATATATTCCCAAATGTAGAAATATTTCATCCTTGTACTTGTGTAGTAAATTTATTAATAGCATGGATTAATTGAAAATGTTCTAACCAAACTTGGTTAATTAATGAAGGGAAAGTAGGATGGGAAACCCAAATTGTTTCAAATCGAAATATTTTTTTTCCTGGGAGAGGGTAGTATTGTAGTTCTAATTTAAGCGGGCAATGGTCTAAATGAATACGAGGAAGATGTGTAACAAGTGTATTAGGGAATTGATTAAACCAATCATAATTAGCAAAAATACGATCTATCTTTCAAGTATATTAGTTGTTATGTCTACCATCTGTCCACGTATAGCGACTCCCTTTATAACCTAAATCTGTCAAGTTGCAATAGTTGATATAGTTTAAGAATTTATTAGTTCTTGAGTTATTTATCGATAAGCCACCAAACTTATCATCTACTTCCAAAATTTCATTAAAGTCTCCCCCAATTACCCAAGGTCCCTTATATTTATCAAACATGCACATTAAATTGGCCCATAATAATTGTCTGTTAGCTAAGTTAGGACTAGCATAAATAGCAGTAAGAGCACCTGAACGTTACAGTGTATTTCCTGACCCGTGGAGGCTACAGATTCCACATGCAACACATCAGCCAACCACAATATCGCAATTCCTCCAGATTGGCCAATAGCTGCAACCTGTATCAAGCCTGTGAAGTTAAAATCATCCTTAACCATTTGGTGGTTGTTACTGTGAGTTTCCAGTAGAACAACTAGAGTTGGCCTATTGTAGTCAAGTAAGGATCGAAAATTCCTTCTAAAATCATCTGAATGAACACCCCTGCAATTCCAAATAATAAAATTCATATGGCTGTCAGGATAATCAAATAGGTGATTGTTCCTTTGATCCCTTTGAGTGCTCGTTTGGCCTGGTCTGAAGACGAAAGTGGGCATTAGAAGCATTGCATATTTCCTTACTGCTGGATTTGTAGTTGGCCTTAGACGGAATGAGGTTGTGAGGAGATTTTGAGGACACCTTATATAGATCTTTCTTTCGTATTCCTCCTTCTGGACAAAGACTTTTATTCCATCTAGAAATGCATGGATTGGTCGAGTTTCTCTGTTGTAAGCGACTGCTGCATCTAGTTCCACTTGAAAATTTTGGTCTTGTTCTTCTGGAGGGGGACTGTGGGGGGGTGATTGAGTGGGTGATGAAACTGGGGTTGGAGGTGGTGGTGGATCCCAGTAAGGTTTGATCCACGGTGTGGCAATATGGGGTGTGGATAAAAAGTCATTTGAAGAAGGTGTGGATGAAGATGAAGGGGGTCCCAATATGGTGTTGGTAGGGGAGGTTGTTGGTATGGCGCAATGTATGGAGCCTGGGTCATTGACCAATGGTACCTTCTGTAAATCTCCATTCCTAATTGCATGCCCTCCATGACTATCTGAGCCAGGTCCCTGGGGTGATTGATAAGGATGGTCACCTCTTGATGGTTGACTTCCATCGTAAAAGTGAGAGCATGGCTTTGTAGCCCGGTCTCCAGCCAAGATATGAGCTGCGTTGGTGCATGAGGAGTCTGTGCAGTGTAAACTATGGTGTTTGGTTCCATGATCAAGTGTGAAGGAGGAAGAGAGTGAGGTGTGTGATTGCGGAGCAAACGATGAGAGGACTGGTTTAGTGTTGAGTGGTGTCTCCTTAGGTAATTGAGATTCGGTGAGAACATCTTTTTTATGGTGGAACTTGGAAGGTGAATTAATGATATTGTTAGGTCGACTGTGAGAAGTTGTGTCCGGATTTAATAGAGTTATAATGGAGGATGTATCAATGGTGGAGGAGGTCGGTTGGATTGATTGATGTGGTGGTAATGTGTTTGTGTTGTGTGAAGAGGTGGTCAAACAATGATTGCCTAGTTGTATGAAAATTGTGAAATTAGGGTTAGGGGTGGACGATGAGGGAGGAGCATGTGTAATTGTGTCTAGTATGTCATGTAGTAGGGTTTGCATGGTATTTGGTGAGGATGTGTTTAGACAGTAGGTGTGCATGTGGAGGGGGCTTACGTGGCCATTTGCATGGCATTGAGAAGACGTTGAATGTGGACTAAATGGTGAGTGGACCGGTTGAATAGGCACTTGAGTGCATTTTGGAGGAAATAATTTTGCATCTTTTGGTTGTTGAGGTAGTGTAGCAGATACTTCCAAATCCTCATTAATTAATGAAGCAAAAGGATTAGTGGTTAAAGTAGGTGAGTTAGGCTGTGTCGTGTTTGGTTGGGTATTAGGTATAGTAGTAGGGTTTTAAAGAGTTAAGTGTGTAAAAGGAAGAATAGGAGGAGTAAAGGTGGAAGACTTACCTGAAAAACATGGAGGATGAGTGGATTTATCGACATTGTTATAACTAGATTTGGTAAAAGTTTTTTTCTTCGGGAATTGTACTGTTTTCCATTCTGCTGTTGATGGATTTTGTGTAGGATTAGGGGTAACTTGTGGATTGAGATGGTTAATATCAGAAGGGTGTGCATCTTGCACTTGATAGGTGCAAATTCTTTGGTTATGCCCCATCCGACCACATTTAATGCATAGCAAATTCAATCCTTCATAGAGAATGTTTTGCTTGTGATTTCCAATATAAACATGTGAGCTTAAAGGTTGATCCAACTATATTTCAACACACAGTCGGGCATATCGACCTTTTGTTGTTAAAGAGGTACAATTATCCACTGATAATAATTTACCAATCTTATTACCCACTTTCTGAAGAATATGAAAATCATAAAATTCAGTAGGTAATTTCGGTAGATGTAACCATATAGCGGAATAATTTATTTTCGTCTCCGATGCCATAAATTTTGGTTCCCATTGACGAACTGAGAGAAAATGATTCAAAATGAACCAAGGGCCATTATGTAAAGCACAAATTTTATTTTCTTCCTTCTGAAACTTTAGAAGAAAAAAATCGGAGCTCAAATCGATTAGAGGGAGGTTTTCTGTGGGTTGCCAAAGAGTATAGATTTTTGTCGAAGTATTTGATGTTCCACCTTCCGACCATAAACCTTAACAATAACTGCATGTTGCCAGGGTTTATAAATTCTACCCTTTTCTTCGAGTGAAAGTGGAATAAAATTTGATGCAGCTACTGGTGCCTCTAGTTCATCCTCAATCGTCATGGAAAATGTTTGAGGGTGATGGCCAGTAGGGGATGAGAAATTATGAGTTGTAGAGGTTAGAGTGTTGAGGTAGGATTTGTGATGTGAAACAGTAGGAGGGATAGGGAGGTCAGGCGTATCAATGATCATTGGTCGTGTTGGATTACTTTGGGAAGTTTGGGTTGTGTTTGAGTCTGTAGAGATATCTGGGGGTTTGGGAGGTTTAAGAGTTGAAGAAACAGGTAGGTGTTGAGAGTAAATGAGATCCATGGGAGAAAGCTATCTAGTTAATATTGATGTAGGTTCTTTTTTATTTAAATAGTGCCAGATATATATAAAAATAAAAGGAAAAAAAATACTTGTAGGTATATTAGATTTGCTAACTCAGTTGATTCTATTGCGTCTAGATCAAGGTTTCCGCTTGTTAGCTTTGTATTTGCTCTCATCTTACTTAACGGGCCCTTAGTTCAATTTTAATTTCCACCATACTTCGGCTGTGCACCCAACAATTTGCTTCAAATATATAACATATAATATGTATAATAATTCTAATTTCGAGAAGAAATTAATTAGGTCCAACCAAGTGGCAATGCTTCCCCAATCGTATTAAAGATCGTATATGGTTGTATATTGTGAGATATTATTTCAATTAGTTGAGGTAGTTGTGGTAGCTGCTTTAATAACTCAAGACTTTAATAAATATACCTGTAAATGTACCATTTAAAAGAAATAAACTAGAAAATACGGCCATTTTTTTAATTTAAAAATAACATAAAATTAGATAAAAATATATAAGATGATGCATTAATGTTCTATAAATCCAGATCAACAATTGTTTGAGAATCGATTTTGTATTCATAATAGTATATATAAATAACAATACTTTCTAAGTCAAAAAATAGAAAAAACATATCATATGAATTACAATCAAGTACACATAAAAAGAATAACAAGAATGAAGTGATGTGGGAATTTTTATAGTTGGTTATGTTGCATGACCATTTATACATTTGCAGCCACATTTAGTTAAGGGAATTTTTGAAAAATTTTATTTTTGTTTAATTTACCAATTTAGCTATATGAGTTATTACATTTTCGTTTATTTTATATTACTTTTTGACGAAAAGGTAAACATCTTTACTTTTCCTTTTTTTTTTTAACTACCTTTTCTTGTTGGTAATTTGATAGTTGACTCATTTATATCTTGGGCTATCAATGTAGCGTACAAAATTCAAATGTGGAGGAGTTTTATTGGACCTAAGTTGGCCCATGTACTTGGAGACGTATTCTCAGCCACGAAATTTATTAACTTTTTGGGAAAAGTAGTTGTTGGGTACCCACCAGTCCGCCCAATAACTTGGCCCATTCATTAACCAAAGCAAACTCAACCCAAACCCTGCAAAAATTTTGTGGAGGATCCACTTTCAATAAAACGGGTCGGCCCAGTTGAAGATCATTGGATTGCCAACAATAGTTGCAAAATGGAGTCATTTTCAATCCATGTAACTGCCTCCAAATTGGGCCAACTACAATCAAGAACAGAAATTCAAGGCCTATTTGAATCACTATGTGCTATTATTTGGCAGTCCATTTCAAGAATTAGAGATGGGCCTGAGCCCAAAATTATAACAATTTGTAAAAAGGGTGAGGAAAAGAAAGAAGGCCTTGTTGGGAACAACCGAGTCATAAGTGTGGTAAAGGTTGATCACTCAATTAAAGAAGCTAATCCTAGTGATTTAGCAAGCTTAATTAAAAATAAGACTATCGATGAGCGATTGAAGATCGATGAAGCCATTGAGAAAGATCATGGAGTATCGGACATTGTTGTTTACGGAGCAAATTTGACTTTTGTGAACATGGAAGGTGCTGATCTCTATGGATTCAACTGGAAGGGACACAAATCGACGATTGTAAGTTACTTAATCGATGGAGTTGGCGATGTAGGGACCATCGTGGTGCTTCCGACCGGGCCAAATGATTCTAGCAAGGATGGTCTTGAAGGAAGGATTGTAAACATGACTTTGCCTGAGGATGAGATAATGAAGTTGAAATTTGAGCTAAGCAAGGAATGGTCTATTGCTTGAGGTTAAATGTATTTGTTTCATTCTTGTTCAATAGTTTAATTTAGTGTGAGGTCCAAAGACACTATGTTTAATAACTACTCTATGTAATGCTATTTAGAGATTAACCAGTATTCATTTTGTTCAGAAATTTTAAATTAAAAATCGTAACTTCAGGACAATTCAGGATATCTTTTTGTAACGACCCGGCCAATCGTTTCAAGAGTTACCGCTCCATTTTTCCCATTTCTGCTTCTTTATGCTTTGTTCATCTGTGTTATATAGTATCTGGTTGGTTGGTTCGAATTCAGAAGGGTTTTGGAAAGGTTAGAGACACTGAGTCTCTTTTGAGTAAGCTTAAGTTGGAAAAGTCAACCGGATGTTGACTTATATGAAATAGGTCTTGGATGTGAATTTCGATGGTTTGAATAGCTTCGTGAGGTAATTTGGGACTTAGGAGCGTGATCAAAATGTGTTTTGAAGGTCCGGAGTAGATTTAGGCTTGAATTGGCGAAATTGGAATTTTGGCATTTTCCGGTTGGTAACGAAGATTTTGATATAGGGGTCGTAATGGAATTCTTAAAGTTGCAGTAGGTCCGTTGTGTCATTTGTGATGTGTGTTCAAAATTTCAGGTCATTCGGACGAGGTTTGATAAATATTTTGATCAAAAGCGGAATTCGGAAGTTTTTAGAGTTATTAGGCTTGAATCTGTGGTTAATTTGATGTTTCGATATTGTTTTAGGTGTTTTGAAGATTGGTACAAGTTTGTAAGGTGGTATATGACTTGCTTGTGCGTTTGGTTGAGGTCCCGGGGGGCCTCGGGGTGATTTCTAATTGTTGACGGGAAGTTTTGAGTGGGAATATGCAGTTGAAGTGCTAAGTTTCTGTCATAACCGCTCCTGCGGCTTGGGGACCGCTGTGCGGGCCCGCAGAAGCGGATGTGAAGTCGCAGATGCGGCCAAGAGAGGGGAAGGCTGGATCCGCAGAAGCATGACTTTGGGCGCACCTGCGATGGCGCATGTGCGAGAATATGATCGCAGGTGCGTTGGCTGGGCGGATAAGAGAAATCCGCAGGTGCGCACCTGGAACCGCAGGTGCGGGTCTGCATGTGCGATAATTAGACCGCAGATGCGGTTTTGCTGGGTCAGAACACATATATTTCACCCTTCGCGAATTTGGGTTATTTTTCATAATATTTCAAATGGGAAGAAGCTTTGGAGAGCATATTCAAGGGAGAATTCAAGAGGGATTCTTAGAGGTAAGGTCCTTGGTCCCTAAACACGTTTTTATGATGATTTTTAACGTTGTAAGCTTGAAATCCATGGGAAAATTAGTAGCAAATTAGGGGTTAGGGCTTGAAAAATTGGAGACCTAGAATTTGGGATTGGAAGGGTCATTTGTGGTTGGATTTTGGTAAATTTGATATGCATTAACTCGTGGGAGGATAAAGATTCCATTGATATTAATTTTATCGGATTCCGAGACGTGGGCCCGGGGGTCGGGTTTGGCCAATTTCGGGATTTGTGTTGTAATTTGATTACTTTCGTATGGGATTCACTCCTTTAGCATATATTGATGGTTATGAACTGATTTTGGTTAGATTCGAGGCATTTGGAGGCCGATTCGAGAGGCAAAGGAATTGCGGGCCAGAGTTTTGACCGGATTGAGGTAAGTAATGATTGTAAATATTGTCCTGAGGGTATGAAACCCCGGATTTCATATCGTTGTGCTATTTTGAGGTGACGCACACGCTCAGTGACGAGCGTGGGGTCGTGCACCGTTGGGGATTGTGACTTGGTCCGTCCCGTACGACTATTAAGTCGCATATTTTACTTTAAAACTATTTGATATTGTTATATTTTGGAAAATATTATTGTGTTTAGGGCTAAATTCCGAGTCTGGGCCTTGTGCCGATGTTTGGACCCTTAGGGGCTTTTACTACAGTTGTTACTCGCTGTTTTGGTTAAATGTTTAAACTCGGGTTTTATTCACTCCTTTTGATTTCATAAGTGATTTTGAGCCGGGTTCTACTTTCTTTTATGTGTCATCATGTTTTGTCCATTATTTGGATACCCCTCCCGAGGGGCCGATTACGAGTGATTGTGAGGTAGCCCAAGGGGCTGGTTCTGTTGATATTTTGCCCGAGGGGCAGTTGTTGATTTATGTTGATGCCCGAGGGGCTGTTTTACATTTCTATACTTTTACTCTCTGTTTTCATCACTAGTTTGAAACTGTTGAAAAGTGTTTTAAAATGGTTTTATTGAACTGAGATGTGTTTTACGAGTTTTACTGCTTTATTGCATTGTTCTGAATATATACTGTTTTACGGTAGCACTATGATGTGGTTTACGTGTTTTCTTACTACTCAGCTACCTTTACTTTTATTACTTACTGAGTTGGCGTACTCACATTACTCCCTGCACCTTGTGTGTAGATCCAAGAGCTTTGGGTCTCGATAGCGAGTGTTGATATTGCTTACCAGTTGATCCTCGTAGTTGATTAGGTAGCTGCTTGGCATTCGCAGCCCAGAGATTCTCCTTCCTAACTCATTTAGTCTTGTAATAGCATTTTTATCAGACTATGTTGGGTTTTCTCTATTTACTAGACGAGTTGTAGTTGCTCATGACTGGTGACACCCCGATGTCTGGCTGTGTTTTGTTTTTTTTCGCATTATTTATCTCGACTTATATTATGGGATTTCTAGTTAATTATTGACTTTAAATGTCATATAATAAATTATTGATTAGTTTGGGATTTGTGTCGGCTGGCCTAGTTTCACGATAGGCGCCATCACGACCGGGTCCATTTTAGGGTTGTGACACTTGTCTTTAAAAACTGAAATTCAGGACACACTGGCTAATTTTTAAATAGCAGCCTCTAGAGTAGATACCTAATGTCATTTCTACACTATTTATTGTTTTGGAAATGTTATTAGCTATGTGTCTTTCTTCTGAAAAGCATTGGCCCAAAATTGTAAACATAGGATAATATAAATTAGTGGTTGTTGGTTTGCAACATTACGTAAGTTGTGCTTTAAACCTTTTTTTAAATCAAATGAAAGTAAACAATATACATGTATTAGCCCTTTTGACTCTAGAGATAGAGCAAACAAAAACAACCACTCCCAACAAAACCAAAAATAGAAAATAATCCTAATCTTTAGTTTTTACTAATTTTATAGAATACGAAGTATATAATTAGCATATAATCGATGTGTACGATGGATATACACCTATTGTATAAAATGTATAAGGCTCTGCGTCGAGAGAAAAATAATATGTACATGTTCAATTTCAGGTAGATATAATATGTAAGAAAAATATGATCTAGATATATGGATTTAAAGTATCAGTAACTGTAACTGAATTTTATTAATCATAATCGCATCTTTTTATTTTATCTAGCAACATGGAACTTACTAGTACAAAATGATAAAACCATAATGCTTTCTCGAATTAATAATATTTTTTTTCAAAATTAATTGTCACGACCCTAAAATCGACCTGGTCGTGTTGGCGCCTATCGTGAACCTAGGCCAGCCGACAAAATTTCCAAGTAAAACCATTACTCTATAAAAGTCATTTTTATTAAGAAGAAACCTCATAATGTCTAAATAATCAGTGTGGAACACATAGCACAAGCCCAGCACCGGGGTGTCACTAGTCATGAGAATCTACTACCACTGCCTGACAACATAAGACCAACATGGTCGGGAAAATCATTAAATACAACTAAGGAAGAATGCAGAGGGACGAAAGCAGGGTTGCGATCCCCAGGCAACTACTTTGCTAACTCCGATGAACCTTCCACTGAGTAATAAACACCCACTACCGGATTTAGAAACACCTGAATCTGCACACAAGGTGCAGGGAGTAATGTGAGTACGCCAACTAAGTAAGTAATAAAAGTAAACAAAGACTGAGCACTAAGAATTTACGTAAGCCACGTCATAGCACCACAGCCGGTACAATATGTTTCCAAAAAACAGGATACAAATCAAATCATCTCGTTAAACTCCAATTTCAGTAAAATCCTTTAAAAAATAACTTTCTAACAGTTGCAATAGAGGTTCAATGTAGTTTGTAGTGAAAATGATGAAAATCGTAATCGGCCCCTCGGGCAAAAAAACTTAATCATAAACAGCCCTTCTGGCAAGTCCCTCGGTCATTCATATACATCACATAACTTTAAAATCTTAGTGGAAATAACAAAAACCAAATCAGTAATTTAATTCCAAACATCTCGTAAAAATTCTAGTTTTAATGAAGTTGTCCAAAACATTTGTTTAACATTTTCAATAGAGGCTCGGCATAAAGATGAGTCAAAAACAGTAAATTCATAAAACAAGCCCTTCAGGCAAAGCATCACTCGTATACATGTATGTATAGCCCCTCGGGCAAGCCTTTCAGTCACTCATGACTCAACTCTCATCACTCAGCGCTCACACTCAGCACTCACGCTCAATAGCTACTATATAATAACCGCTGCGGCGTGCAACTCGATCCATATATCGCTGCGGCGTGCATCCCGATTCATATATATATATATATATATATATATATATATATATATCTACGGCGTGCAGTCCGATTCATAAATATATATTCCTCACAACCAAGCCCTCGGCCTCTCTCAGTCATCAACCTCACAATCAGGCCCTCGGCCTCTCTTAGTCATCAACCTCACAATCAGGCCCTCGGCCTCTCTCTCAATCATCAGCCTCACAAGCCACTCGGACTATCAGTAAATCAGGGCGTTCAGCCCAAAATAACATTTAGAGTATCAAAACTGAGTAAATAAGGCCGAGTTATGAAATCAGTAAAACACAGCATGACTGAGTATAAATATTAAGTCAAAACAGTGAGAAAGTAGTAAAAAAGCCCCATAAGGGTCCAAAACAGTTAGCACGAGGCCCAATTATTGCATTCCGCCCAAAACATAACAATACTTTCCAAAACACACTGATATCAAACAATTTTCAATCAAGTACGCGACTTAAAAGTCGTACGGGACGGACCAAGTC